CAAAAAAATGAATCAATGTATTCTAATTTATGTCTCTACACAGAGCAATCGTCATTGTTTACAAGCAAACTGTTATTGTAGACTATCAGCCTTCTCCACCCAGAACCCTTTTAGATCATATTTGGAGAGTCAGCCATGTTATTTTAATAAAATAAAATCCGCATTTTTCTTGTTTTTTTTCTATCTCAGAGAGGAAAAATGTGAGTCCATTGTTCAAGTCCTGGGTTGAATCTGTTGGAGGCCATGATGGTCTGATTAAACTCACTATCCTAAAAACCTACATCTGTCTCTGTGTGTGGTTAAACATGAAACAATCCCCAGTGCTGTTGTTGAGGGAGGAGAGATACAGTCTTATTCCCCCTAACCCACCTAGATTTTCCCAGATGTCTCAGGGTTTGAAATGGCAACTCTCCAGTAAGAAGCCTCCTAATGAAACCTCAAGGCCTCAGCCAGTACACTGCAAGTCCTGCAAAATCAAGTGGACACCTTTTTATAGACTGCTTTATATTGATTCTCAAAAAGTAGGATCATTTTGGGCCGATTTTAATGGGACAAATGCAGATATTTGTTTCCTATTAATCACCCGAAGAGCATGGATCTTCCACTGTGGTGAAATAGAGAGACTACCACTATGGTAACCAGTGGTCTGGTGTTCTCGGTGCTCTTCCAGCACTTATACCGCTATTTGGCTACAGACTGGATGTTTTCCACTGCTTTGTATCTCCTGTAGTTAGTCACTGCTATGGATACATTTCAATTGAAGTTGATAATAATAATAATGCTTTTTGTCTCTCTGTTTTCCCTGCTCATTTTTTTTATGGTGTGGTGTTTAGTTACAGAACTGTCCTTGAAACATCCATGTTGAATAAAATTCCCGAACCAGTCTCTCACATTTTTAAAGCTCAACACCACTGTTAAATTATTTTTATATCTGTCTAGAGAACTGTGTATATGGGAATTTTACTTTATTTCTTTTATTTTTGTTGGTAAATATCTCCAATGCTATGTCCCATTCAGGCCATTCATCTCTATAATACAATTCCCTCAGTATGTGAATGTCTTTAAATCCAACACACTTGGCCTCCAATTGATTGAAAAGCATCCTCTGCTCAACCACTGGATCCATCACAGGCCAACTGCTGTAAAGGGAACATCCTTGTACCATTGTTGCAAACAGTAAGAATAGTTTGGATCTTGCAAGAGGGTGAATTTATCTGTTGTTTACTTTGGCAGAGCTAAAAATTATAGTTTAGCATAAGGCAATGTGTATGCATGCACACTTAGCACGCAAAGTTGAAGACGGGGGGTCTTCATAAACCTTCTCCATCCCACAATGCAGTGAGTTCGGGGCAAGAGGGGGCTGAGAAAGTTTCCTCAGCTTTACTGGGTAATCCCTCGATAAATAAACTGAAGGCACGACCACTGCTGCTATCTGTAAGACAATACTCCCTGAGAGGAGGGATGGCCCTGGGCTCGGCTGGCTTGGAGTTGATTCTCCTGCTGTGTTCTTCTCACACTCTCTCGCCTCAGGATCATATGAGCATAAAACAAAGATTTCTACACACCACTTTGGAGTTAACGTATGGAAATGGATCTTGATTCACACATTTGCATGACAAAAAGTTTGTGTGGTGAAATCAAACTCCATTGGATTTCTCACAGGTACACAGAATTAATGCTTTGCATTTCCCTGAAGTCTTTCCGAGGGAACAACATGCATCCCACCAATCCGCCCCCTCCCTTCACCGTCCTCAGGCAATCATATAAGGAATGCCCCACAAAATAGCTGAAATTGTGAAGGTGTAACAAGGGCAAACAGGTGGCCACACAAATGCACACTCAAGACCAAGTACTCATGCTGTGCCCAAATGGGATTTTCATTCTCACGCCATCATCAGGTCAGGAGATAATTGATTTATTGTCGTGTCATGGCCCATGTCGTTACTCAATCTGTCATCTGATTGGCCTTCAGGATTATGTGGTCACAAGATCCAACCTATAAGAGCACGTCTCCATTTCACAAGAGGATCCACACTGAAGATTCTGTTTATTTTTCCAATGCTGACTTTGTGTTCTGTTTACTCCGTTGGATGTTTTGTTAGGCGAAAGAATAATTTGTGTCAGCATGATTGTTTTGAAATGCCGGTTTCTCCCATCTCCTCTGGCCTCTTCAAAAGTAGAACATTTTTTGAACGTCTTCTCTCTGGTATTTGTTGAAAAATAATGCAAACAGAACTGCGAGTGACCTTCTCTTAATGTTCATATTTTACCCAGATGTTTACATTTCTTTGTCTCAGAGAATAGCAAAGTGTCATACAAAGCCAGGTGAGAAATGACACTGGGTTTAAAGCTTAAGTCTGCAATTTAGAACGTTCTCTGACCTTTTTTGGATGGTTTTTCATGTACTGGATGTATCAAGAAATGTATTTAAAAGCCAATGTTTTAAAGGCAAAAATAAAGTGCAGTTAATTTCTGCTCTCCTAAACTACTGGCATCACTTTATAACGATTCCCCCATGGATTTCTGATATATTTACTTACATGGATGTGTTGTTGTGTGGTCTGAATTATTTTAATTTAAATGGATTCAGAATGGACTTTACCAACCAAAATGCCAAAACAATTACATGTAGGATACAGAAAACCCAAATTCAGAGGATGCAGTAAAATAATAATAAAAAAAGAGGATAAAACGTTCGACATATCATAAACATACAATTTCGTTAACTGAAAGCGTGAACTACTCGCTCAGCCCTTTGCACACCTGCCCATTGGAGTCTGCCAGCTTCACCACTTTCATACAAACACACACTCTTCCACACGCACAGTATAGTAGACCTCCCAGACACTGTCTGGACATGATGTCATGCGACTATATGTTGTCTGAAATATGTATTTTTAATCTCAGGAAGATATTTTATAAAAACATATTTTTGCTAAATAAGGAAGAAACGTGGTTGATTTCAACACACCTGCCAGTGTGGTCAAGATCTTGACGTATTTATAGTTTTAAGTTATAAACAGTTTTAAGTAAGTTTGAAGAGTAAAATGAATCAACTTTGACATTTATAGCTTTTACTATTTCTTTAAATTATCAACGTTTAACTGGTTGATTAGCATACATACATGTTATTGTCTGCGTTCTAGATTAGTTTCTATTACTTATGCTTAATTTTGCCAACTTTTCTTCATAAAAAAATACATTTTACTGGTTTACATTTACACATGTTCTAGTAAATGTATGACATTGTGCGCAGAAGCTGTGCAAATAAATTCAACGGTAGCTGTCTGCAGTAACACTGCAGCACCTGCATAGACCATTTGGCTCAGTGTGTTGATAAGTTGCATCGACATAACATTTGCGATGTCACACTAGCACAATGTAAAGCATGCATGTGTGTGGCATGTTTGCACGTGCATATGTGACTGCGAGCTGCTCGACCACATGTGAGCATGTTTTATGGATCCAGAGGGAGTTAAGGCTAATGCAATAAAACAACCTCTCCCCGTGCCCGGCGTCTGCCTCGAGATAATTTAAGACCAGACTGTCGTAAAGAAAAAGTGGGAGAGAAAGGCCAGAGTGAAGAGTGAAGTGCAGTGAGGAGGGGAAAATGTTCAGGTAGTTATACTGTTGGAAAGCATCTCTTTTGGTTCTTAAGCCCCTGATGATCCTCCCCTGCTCAGGATGTGAGAACTTCTATTCAAACTCAATATATCAGGCACATGAGATGACTGATCTGCTTCTCCCTGAAGGGGAAGACACATTTTGTGACTGTTTAACATTTCAGGTGCTTCCAGAAAAACTTCTCCGATCTCCTCCCAACATGTGCTTACCAGTATGTCACCAAAATTAGTTTCTAAGTTTGTGCTTACCGTTGTTACCGTTGGCCTTGTCTATTTAGAGTTAGACAGAACTGCAGGGATAGATTGCAGCTGATTAATAAATTGTAATTGACCAAGGCCAACAGTCAAACTAAATGATTCTCACTGCTCCCTTTTCTAAATCAGAAACAATGTTGACATGATTTTCTAGTTCTTAGAAATACAAAAGAAAGAAGTGGTCCGATAACATAAACTATTTATTTGACATAAAACAACAACTAAAGTGAATGAAAATTACTGGATCTGTCCCCTAATCCACATTTTCACTAAAAAGCCCAGGTCCCATTTTCCCCAAAGTTTGGTGAAAATCGATTTAGAAGTTTTTGTATAAACAATAAACAAACAAACAGACCTATAGACTGACTCAGGGGAAAACTTAAGTGTTGGATGCCTTTACACAGTAGACTGACATATCCCTCTAAGCAAAGCAGTGTGCGTACATTAATCACTATGAGGAGTTATTCACTCCAGCATGCAAGAGCCATCACACTCCATCTCTCCGGCTAATTGACAACCGCCTAATAACGCTGCCCACATGCTTTTAAGCCAATGAAATGTCATCGATTTCGCCGCTTGGTTTGCAGCACACGCCCCTTAATTCTCATGACCCTGCTGTCTCCTCCTCTCTGCTGCTGGCTTTAATAGCCCACTGGAGATCCGCACCACCATTGCCAATAGCGCGCACATGCATTCATCTCCATGAGGTAGTGGAATGTGCTACATTTACTGTCAGCCCTCCTGGCAGTAACTCACTCATCACACCACTTTCTTTCATCACTTACCTCACTTCACGCCCACTGTTTTCCCATGTTACTCCGTCCCGTTACTTTGAACTTTTACTTTTACTTTTTTTCTTTTTTCCCGTAGTCATCCTGCAATCATTCATTTTTCATTTAAAACTCTCAGTATCGCTGTGGAAAAAAGATTCACTTTGAATAATGTATGTGTTCACATGCTTTTAACTGTGCAGGTGTCACTCTGTGGTTTTTTAAAGCCACCTTGCAGCCCCACCCTCTCTGTTATGTGTTTTCCTAGCTTAACAGATGCATGCCTGTGTGTGTGTGTGTGTGTGTGTGCGTGCGTGTGCGTGTGTTTGCGTGTTTTCTATGATCCCCACAGGTGGACAAGGTGTGTGGCCTGACTACTGCGGAACCTACAGGCATGCAGCCTACTAGCCCCGAGGTCACGACCTCTACCGTGACCTCGTCGTCTCCTCTTCCATCTGCGGCTCCCTCCCAACCTTTACCAGAGCAGTGGCAGAGGCAGCTCTCCCACTTGAGGAGGTAAGACAAAGCAAAGAAATGCACTTTGATTAACTCTGTTGGATTCAAGAGTTTATTACTGCCAGCTGGAATTTAAAAACACCTCTTTCTGCTTAATGGAAAGTGAATTTCAATAAAACAAAACTGGCCAGGTGTGTGAGAAATAGCCAAAGGGGGTTGGCCCATGTCTGTCCACAGCTGCCATCTATTGCCATCAACTATTCACTTTCATATGGTTAGTTGCAGACAACACACACCTAGACACACATGGTAAATGTAGTGCCTGGCACTAAAGTCCATGCCCTCCACCTGGCCTCTGAGGCAGCCACTCCATATCCACAGCAGCTGGTAGTGATGTGCCAGGCTACAGGCGAGGGGGTGCGGGTAAAATTAATCTTGACGAACCGACGATTTCCTGTTTACCCAGACTGCCGTACCACAAACTCTGCACATCAGCCTGCCTCAGTTTAAATAACACCACACACAAAAAATACACACTCAGGCACACACTTTCAGTGTTGCCTGCCTGACCTTGTCCCAAACCATGAATCACTGCACCAATGCCAGCCTAGCTGACAGGTCTGGCCTGGCACTGCCACTGCCATTCATGGCAACACAATCCAGCTCCCCGCCTGCTGCCAACCCTGACCAGAGCACATGTGAGCGCTGACCACTTCAGAGACATGGCAGCACCGACTGCAGCGCAGGGAAAATACTGTACTGCTGAAAAATATCAAGTATCACGTAGCAGAGCAACATTTATTTTTGGTTTTGAGGGAGGAAAGAGATGAAGGTTTCTTTGGCTTACCTGTGAATATGTTATTGTTTGATTGTGTGTTTGTTTACTGACTGAACTTATACATACCAGTACCTGTTCTGCTGATGTGGTGTGGGGACAAATCATTGATGTTGGTTTTTTTTTGTTGTGTGGCCATTCTCTGCATGTGCATGATTAATCACTCTCTTCCAGGGTCAACTGACTGGTCTTTTCTCCCAACGTGTCCTGTCATGTCATCCTTTTGTTTTTCTTTTTCTTTCTCTCATCCCCCTACCCCTTTCACATCCGTGCATCTTCCCTGCTTGCCACAATCTCCCCTGGACTCCAACTCCCATCATCCCCAGCTCGTTCCCCCTGAAACCCTCCAAGAACAATAAACATAGTCTGAGAACGCTCTCTAGGTAAGCATGCACCCAAGGGACTCATTTCTCTCAGTCTCTCACATAATTGATCAAGCAATGATTGTGACTGGTGTAGATATGTGTGACACTTTCATTAACTTTAACAGTTAATTATCTTTGTGTTTCTGGTGACTGGTGCATTTTTTTATGTCTTACAAATCCAGCCTTTATACATATCATCTGTTGCTCTCGAACAGCGATTCCCGACACTGACTGACTCAGCATCATCACTCCTGCTGTCTCTGCTCTGCCTCATGGGTGGCAGCAATATGTGTCAGATCAAAATATCATGCAATTGTTTTGCTCGAGAAGACAGTGCCTATATCAATAACACATGCTCGTGTATCTGGTGAAGCAGGCACTGCACGACACAGTAGGAGATAATGCTGACTTAATGAGATGGTCAAAATCCTTATCTACCACCATCAGTACATGCAAGTATTGTTTACTGGGAAAACATGGGGTCACTTATGCCGAAGTCACACAATGCATTCCTCTGTTTAATGTTTCCTACATGGATGATGAAAAAGATATTTGGTACATCACGTATTAAAATCATGTCTCTGCCCATGTGTCAGTTTTTTTTCTTTCTTTTTTTTTCTTAGGGAATTCTTGATGTACCTGCAGCGCTACAAGTCTTTCTTTGCAGCGCTGCCGGAGATGCTGTGCGAAGGAGAGAACGTAGTGGACGACTCCACATGCTGGAGCGGAGATGACGTGGTAGAGAGGTGAGAGAAATGTGTTCAGCCCTCCAGCAAACATGAGCTGTGTTTGGCATTTCGAGTTTTACTGCTGGGGAGACATTTTGTTCATCATTTCTTGTGCTAAGGCTGGATATTGTTCATTTTCTCGAACGATAGATTAGTTTCTATCTCCAATGTGGAAATATGAGTTTTGAGTACATTCAGATTTTGGAAAAAAAAGCAACAGATCAGCTTTGTGTGTGTTTGTGGGCTTTTGAAGGACAATGCCAGGGTGGGTGAGTCAGTGTGTCTGACTGTTGTTAATCAATGAGAAAATAAAAACGTAATTAAATCCAGACAGAACAAATAGTTGCTATGTTCTCCTCTCTTCTTGTTGGTGTCAGTTAATAAGCTGTTATCATGCTTTTTCTCTTTTTTATATTTATGGGGTTTTTATTGTTTGCTGATTTTTAGGCTTGGAACTGGATTCCTTTTCCTGTTTATTGTTTTGGGTGCATCTCTCAGAAACTGGAGCACTTACTCTCTGATGTTGCGTGAATGTGGTTACGTGGAAGTCTGTATCTGACTTCCCTGGATCTGTTTCTAAAAAGTGGTAAAAACTCAGTCCATGATTTTTGACAAGGTTAACGTGTTCCTTCTTCTGTGCTGGCTCTAAACTGACAAGCTTTAACACGGCAACCTCAGCTCTTGGCACTGCCAGCGTTGGCCTGGACACAGGAAAACAGTGGTCTCGGGATTCCTTTCCATGATACGCCCAGAAAGTTTGGAAGATTCTTTGCTCCTTTTTTGTTTGCTGGGTTAAGCCATACATTAAACTTAATATTAGAGCAGGGAAGGCATTGGGCACATGAACTGGATTAAAAACATATTTTTATTACCCTCAGTGGTAGAGGCAAAATCATTAATCAGATTATTATTGTTATTATTATTTTACTTGGTTATTATTACCAATTATTATCTGAATAATAACCATAACCATAATAAAAGCTATACAAGTTAACAGCCAGTCAGATTTACCTTTAGCCTTAGCTTACCCTCAGGTAACACTAGTGATTAAAAGGCCTGAACAACTAAAGGTGCTAAGATAAGTCTCTAACATTTGCTGGTGGTCGCTAACATCAGCTAACATTGACTGGTGGTTGGCATCTTAATAAGTGCAGTAGTCCTTCAAACATACAAAGGATATTCTCCATCTTGTCCTATGTTCTTGAATAAAGATATAATAATAATAATTATTATTATTATTATTTGTGTTGTTCTTGTTATTTTGTTTATTGCTACATAACTTACCGTAACATGAAATGTAAATAGGAGCAGAGCAGAGCATCACAGCATTAGAGATCACAGATGGTCATTCAACATTTTACCTAAAGGTGTTTATACTTAGTGTTAAATAAACATTTAGAATTTACAGTGGGATTTTCTTCCGGCTGTGACAATGACGTCATTACTGAGTAGTGTCCCAAAGCATTTTTTCTTTTCCTGATGAGCTCGCTATATAGTCCTCTATAGAAGTCACTGTATAGCAAAGAAGGGAATAGTGAGTGAGGGCACAGCCATGGAGATCAGATGGGGAGGGGTTTTATTTCATTATAAGTCCTCTGTAATAGTCATGATTTATACAGTGTTGACATGTCTCTGCATCACTAACAAATCAAATCATTCTGGTTCAGAGGCTGCTCTCTTCTCCCTCTTTTTCACTCCTCTTTTCTCAAACTCTCCAACCCTTCCCAGTAACTGCAGGGGATCCGCCAGTGGCTGAGACATACTGAGCAGACCACACATTCATCACAGCCTGTTACAGCGTGTTAGCACACAAAGTGGGCAGCCAGTGTGCTGGGTCCATGATCAGGAACATATGACAGTGTAAACACAGAGCGAGGTAACTGTATCTCGAGCTTAACTTTAAACTATTTCTGCTTATTTCTGATGTAGTGAAAGGGAAAGGCAGGAGAAAGAGGGGATGACATGCAGCAAGTTGCCTGGACTGCATTTGGCTCCGGGCTGCTGCTGTAAGAACTCTGCTTTGTTAGTGGTACACGATCTGCCAGGTGGGGCACCAGGGCACCCCCATCCCTAAATAAACTTGTCAAGATACAAGTCTTTGTTAATATTTAAAGCCACTTCTTTATTTCTTTACTCCGCACGTGTGTGAGTGAGTGTCACTTTTACTACCAAAGGCAGTGGGTTTTCAACAACAGTGCTAATGGGTTGTAACGGTGTGTTATCGCACACTCCCTGGTGAGAGCCAGGTCTTTGCTTGTGGTGTCAAGTGTTCTTGGGTTGAATAAGAAAACAGTACCCTACTGAGACATTTGGCACCACTCATAAACTCTTCAGATTGTGCCTGTGGCTATTCAGCAAACCTCCTCCACTGTATTTGACTCTGTTGGCATTTGTTAGAGAGAGGGGGGGGGGCAGGACAGGACAGGGCATGAAAGAGGTTGGCGTTTCGGTGCCTAAGTGCCCCCTGTGCCTCCCTGTGCCCCTGATGAGGGAAGCATGGTGGAGTGATGGGGAGGGCTTGGCGGCATAAAGACCCATTGTGGAGTCAGTGGAGTGGGGCACAGCCCTGCCGTGGGGACCCCCAAAGCCTGGAGGGGGAACAAAGACCCTCCTATGAGGCTGCATGGGAAAGACTTGGACATTGCTGCCACTACTTTTGCCACTGCCCACCCCATGCCTGGGAAAGTTGTATGAGAACTGCAAAGGAGATGAGAGGAGGGCAGATAGTGAGAGGCAAAGATGAGAAATGAAAGAAAATATTAAAAGAAGTGTGCAGCAAAGAAGAGACAAGTAGTATGATCGCAAATGGACATGCTAAACTGTGTGGGTTGACTTTGTGGGTTCCCGCCATACAGACGGGGACGTAGACACACATATAAAAATATATCAACACAGGATCCATATGCTATCTAACAGCTGGAAGGGTTATTCATTCAGACACAATAATACTGTGCTCAGACAAGGAGACACAAGTTAGAACACACACACACACACACACACACACACACACACTTGCATGTTGTAACACTTCAAAGCACATCAAAAGCATTGAGGATTTGAATTCCCTTCTTCTCTTTATTCAGCATCTGATGACAGAAGAGTGAGCGGGGGGCAAGCAGTTGTACTTACAAGTGCATGTTGGCATGTGTTCAAACATCTCTGAACATTTACAGCGTCACATATGTGAATACTTCACACCATCTTTACCGGAAAGATAAGATCAACCAAAATGACCACAATCTTTATTTAGATTTGCGAGTCACCATATATCTCTCAGTTGAGTCTTATTACAATGAGACATATCTCATTGCCACCTCTACTCGCTTTAATTACATTAATTACTGTTATTGTTGTTTCTTGCTTTTTGAGAAGCTTTTGTTTCACAATGAGAGCCAGTGTGAGCAAGTTATGAAATAATGCTGCTGGCTATAGACACAATTTGACAACGTGAAGATCTTGATCAGCTTCTTGACTGTAAACAAAAATACCTAAATATGGGTTTTGTAAAACAGCCTATTGTTAAACTTTATCCAGTCATAACTAGACACATATTTCATAAATAAATATTTCTAAGTGGCCACTCAGCCTGTTATGAGTCGTATGAGAACGTGGTGGAAAGAGGTCGGCCTCAGTGTCAGGATTCTGAAAGTGCAGCAGTGAGTGGAGCAAGTGATGATTTTGTGGGCACCTCCACTTGTATTTATGAAAAGCAGCCAATCAGATGCAAACCAGAAACAAGTAAACTGCATCCTGTTAAGGATGGAAAATGTTTGCTCGTCAAATCTCAGCTGAGATCTTTACCATTTACTGTAAATAAATCTAAATGGTCACATGTCCTCAGATTTTCAGTCACAGCTCATGCAGCGTTCTGCTTCACCAGTGAAATGTATTGCTATGGATTAATAAACAATAATAATTCTGTAAGGTATTGCTGATGCATGATGGACCTCATGGAAGCATGCACCTGTAGCCTGAGACTTACTTTATTAATTGATGTAAACCACGAGGGACTCTAAGTCAAAACTACGA